AGAGAGAGAGAGAGAGAGAGAGAGAATGATGAGTTGACGCAGCCTACTTTTCTTGATTTCTTTGAACAACAGTTGGAAAGCACAAAACTGAGAGAAGCCAATACGAGTTGGTGGTGGGTGGCAAAGGTTTTGTGGCATGGTCTTGTTGCTCCATGGAAACTGCTATTTGCGTTTGTGCCTCCATATCAGATCGCTCATGGTTGGATTGCTTTTATCTGCTCTTTGTGTTTCATCAGTGGGATAGCTTACGTTGTTACGAGGCTAACTGACCTAATCAGCTGCGTTACAGGTTCTTATTACCAAGTGACTAAATTCAATCTTCCCTTTTTGTTTATAAGTCAAACTTATACTTGATGGATGTCTGTAGGGATTAACRGTTATGTGATAGCATTCACTGCATTGGCAAGTGGAACCTCATGGCCGGATTTAGTGGCAAGTAAGATTGCTGCTGAAAGACAAAAAACTGCAGATTCTGCCATTGCAAATATTACTTGCAGGTTAGTACTCAACTTTTAAACCGGAGTAACATTGTTCAAAAAAAACTGCTGACTTTGCTTTGTGTAGCAATTCAGTGAACATTTATGTGGGAATTGGAGTTCCATGGCTGATCGACACACTTTACAACTTCATCGCATATGGGGAACCTTTGTATATTGAGAACGCAGAGGGGCTGAGCTTCTCGCTGCTGGTTTTCTTCTCAACTTCCGTGGGGGCAATTTCAGTTTTGGTACTTAGACGGATTGTGTTTGGTGGTGAGCTTGGAGGACCTAGGGGTTGGGCTTGGGTCACCTGCGTGTATTTCATGTCACTTTGGCTCATATTTGTTGTCTTATCATCCCTAAAAGTTTCTGGCATCATTTAAGAAATCCTTTTACCGATCATTCTTCATTTCTCCCCTCAGTTATTTGTTGAAAGCTAAATTTGTTTCTTCTRGCTACAGGAGATTATAGACATAGAAATTCATTTGTAACATCTTGTCCCATATTGATGATTGTTATATAGTATCAGCTGCCTGCTTTCCTTCCATTCCGTGGTTGTTTGAATTTTATTTCCTGCACCTTYGCATTTGGGGCATTCCAAGTAAAAGCAATGGTATTATTTTGTTCTACTGCATTACCATTTGTAGATGCATATCATAACTTCAATTGAGATCCAACTCTWAAGATTTATGGAAACACATGAACAGATTGCAATCTACAACACATGATTTGCCATTCAAAATCTCACCCAAATAATGTGAAGCACTGCTTTTAGAAAGCATGCCAAATATATCACCATTCTAATGAAAACAAAAAACATACTTTGAAGAAACATATCATTTTTGATAGAATTATCTCGGGTTATAGGATATCGTTGATCAAAGAAACGATATATTTCTCCCTTTGCCATTAAGTCTTGAAACATAAACCCCTCATGCAACCACACCAGTACAAGCAGTGACTGGAGCACCATTGTGKTGTTTTGCAGAACTGTATTTCTTGGTGATGAATCTGCAGTTTTTGGAAACAAATCAACAGCTTAATAAGCAAAAAACCATGGAAAGTAATTATCAATCTGCCCATAACCATAAGCAGAAACCAAGTGACTTGCCTGAAGAAATCCCTCCATAGAAGCTCATACATCAACCAGTTCATCCCAGTATCACCACCATCTTTCCGGTTTGCAGCAGCAGCAGAAATGGTTCTACATTTTACTCTCTTTGTAAATACAAAAGGAAATTAAACATCTTTTCTACAAGTAAATAGCAAATATTTGAACATACCTAGAAGCAGATTTCTTCAACTCATCAAACATGGATCGAGGAGAAAGGCATCCCATTGCGAGCCATGGAGAGATTTTGCAAGAGAAATTGGCGCCATACATGCTGCTATCACTACTTCCATCTTTATGAGGTTGTGATTGGCATTCAGCAGCAAACTTTCTAAGCCTCTCCAGTGCTTCACTCTCCCCTCCAACAAGTGAAGCATTAGCASTTGCTTTTGCCTAAACAACACTTAAAGCTCTTAGGGCATGTCTGTTGGCAACTTAATGATCTTAATGAGCCTTACAGCTTATTCGGTCAGCTAGATTGTTTGGTAGTGGCTTAATGATATAGAAAGTGACTTATTGAGTAAGTTTCTAGGTGGAGCTTTATACAGAAAGGCACGGTTATTCCAATTTTGTCCCTCACAGTTAAAAAAACACGCTCCATCCATCCATAGAAAACCCACCCAAACAAAAACCTTCACGGTCTGTACAAGAGAGATTAATCAACACACAGACAGCTTTATCCATGSAGGACATAGGAAAACCAACCAAAGAGCTTATTATCTTAAGGTAATCAAGCGAATATCATTTAATTCTTATATTTGGGATGCAAAGAAAGTCATATGCTTTAATTAAAGCTAATTAGGCACAAATTWAAAACTTGATGATAACATAAGTAGCAACACAAATTGGAAATTGATCAAAGTGATACCTGAGTCATGGTAGCAGTAGGGTTAAGACCCAAATCAACCAAAGAAGGAATGTCACCGGGCTCCACATCACCGCCGGTTGGCAATCCTCGCAGCTGATCAAGTGCATCTATGGTCTTCCTGATCTTTAAGCCTTGCACTTTCTCCCTGAACCCACCATAATTAGTGGGCATTTCTTCCAACTTGAATGGCAAATCATCAATATGGTACAAAGTGCTTCCCCAGAAGTATTTAACCTCCACTCCTTCATCTTTCAACTTTGTATCAATCTTCTCTTCACCCTTAACCTCATCATGAGACACTTCTCTATGTGCATACACAGYCTCTGCCCCAACTTCGTTCACTAATTCAGCTAAAACCGTTTCAGGTTTTCCAATACGGACTATAAGGTCCGACCCTCTTGCCTGAAGATTCTTTCTCAAAWTGGAAACCGACTCAATCAAGAAGGATGCCCGGTAAGGTCCGGTTTTATCGAACCCGGATGAAGATTTCCCGTAGTCTCTAGGGTCGAAACAGTAAACTGGTAAAACTGACATTGATTCATTGTTAGCAGAAGATAAAGATTCATTGTCGTGAACACGAAGGTCGTTACGGAACCAGACTACAGAAGCACGACGTAGACCGGCGGCATTGGAGGGGTCAGAAGGGCGGCGAGGGTTTAAAGATAATGGGTTTTGAAGAGGATTCGCGGAGACGGTTGATTTGAAGAATGGTTTGGTGGGAGAGAGGGTGTTGGAGAGAGAGAGATTGCACAGAGAAGAGATTTGATTAGGGATTTTGACAATTTTAGGTGAGAATTTTGGTGGGGAAATGAAGTGGATGGGGAGGAGAGTGGAAAGAGAGAGAGTGATGGAGGTAAAGGGAGCAATGGAGAGGTCTTCTGATGGTGTTTCAGAATCAGGGTTTTCTAAATCTAGAGGTTTTGCTTCCATTTTGTTGGTGGGGAGATATGATGATGATGATGATGATGATAAGCAGTTCTTGTGAGTTATGTATCATCTGGTTTTTGTGGCTTGGTGCCGTGCGAGGATAACGATGAAACCACGCATCTAAAAATAAAACCAGTACAAAAAACTAAAATTTTAAAAATACCATTCTTTATGTCTCACTCACTCA